GAAATGACTGACTTTCAAAATAAAGATCCGAAGAATATATATTCAGCTTCTATGAAGAAATATAAAGAACAAAACAGATCTTTTTCAAATAGGTATTTCACTAGAAAAATGAAAAATGGCCAATTACTGGAAAGATCTTGGTTATGTTATTCAAAAAGGGTTGGTACTGTTTTTTGTTTGACTTGAAAACTTTTTTCTAAAACTCCTTCTCAATACACAACCGGATTTTCTGATTGGAAACACATAAGATTTTGTTTAGAAAATCACGAAAATTCTAATGAACATAAAAACTCAATGTTAGTGTGGTTGACACGAAAAGAAAATAAGTCTGTTTTAGACAAGCAGCTTCAGGAGCAATTAAATAAAGAAACAGAATATTATCACAATGTCCTAAAACGGGTTATTGCAGTGCTAAAGTTTTTGTGTATAAGAGGCTTAGCACTTAGAGGTTCCGAGGAAGTATTTGGTTCTCCACATAATGGTAATTTTATGGGTGCTCTAGAGCTATTGGCAGAATTCGACCCATTCATACGTGAACATATTGAACAACGAGAGCTGCGACCAAACCCTGTAATATCATATTTATCAAAAACAGTATATGAGGAAATAATTGAGATTATGGGTAAACAGATAATTAAACAAATTATAACTGAAATAAACAACGACGACACAAAGTATTATTCAATTATGATGGATTCAACCCCAGATCTGTCTCACGATGACCAACTTGCTATTGTATTACGATACTGTTTTCGGGGAAAAGTGTATGAAAGATGTGTGTCTTTCATTAAAATTAGTAGTCATACTGGCTTATATTTATTTAATATTCTAGAAGCCTTTTTGGAAACAAATGGACTACTACTGGATAATTGCAGGGGACAGTCATATGACAACGCTGCTAATATGGCCGGAATCTACAATGGTGTACAAGCACTACTAAAAGAAAAAAATAAATCCGCGGATTACGTGCCATGTGCTGCGCATTCCCTTAACCTAGTTGGTCAAGAATCCGTGAAGGTTGCAACCGAAATTGTAAATTTTTTTGGAATAGTGCAAAAAATATACGTTTTCTTCTCTGCTTCGACCCATAGGTGGGAACTATTAAATCGTGAAACAAAAGTAAAATTTACATTAAAAAGTTTAAGCCAGACCAGATGGTCTTGTCACTTTGATGCTGTCAGAGCTTTGAAAAGCAATTATGATGGCATTATGAAAATTCTCAATAGTTTCGGCGAAAATAACGATGAAAAGGTTGATTTCCGAAAAGAGGCACGAAATTTATTTAATAAACTGGCGAAACTAGAAACTGCAATTTTAATTATTTTTTGGGAAGAAATTTTGGAGAGATTTAATGTAGTTAATAAAAAAGTACAGAGCCCTGGTTTAGACATTGGTGAAGGCAATAAGTTAATTGTGTCATTAAAAGAGTTCGTGAAAAACATAAGGCAACAATCAGATCAGAAGCTAAAGGAATACGAAAAGAAAGCTAAAAAATTAAGTACTAGTGTGGAAACAGACTACAGTGACATAAATAAGAGACGCATTACTTCAAAATTTTCAGATAAATCTACAGATAAAGTCTCAGTAAACGGCGCAGAAAAATTTAAAAGAGACACGCTTAACGTTGCGTTGGATAAGATGATTATGGATTTAAATTATAGAAGCCAAGCCTATGAGACCTACAGCAAAAAATTTTAATTTTTAATGGATTTGCAAGATAGAAATCAAGAACACATAGATCTGGAAGGTGTACGTAATATTATTGATTATTATGCAAATGACATAGACGAACATTTAGTGAATGAGTGCATTCAGTTAAAATCTTACTTACTGCAGTCTAAGACAGAGTCTTACACCTCTTGCAGTGAAATTTTTTGGCTAATTTATGAAAAGAAACTTGTTGATGTTTTCCCAAACTGCTATACCATCTTAAAGATTTTTTTAACGATGCCGATCACTAGCTGTGAAGCGGAGCGTTCTTTCTCCAGGATGTCGTATATAGAAAACAAATACAGGACAACAATGTCGAACTATCGACTAAATCATTTATCAGTTCTTTCAATAAATTGCGATTTAACAAAGGACCTACAGTGCGATGACCAAATAAAAGAATTTGCAGCACAAAAATGCAGAAAGGTTGCTTTATAATTTATATAACATAACCATCTATAACCTGTCAATTTATTTTGCAATAAATAATGTTTTAATAAATAAATAAAATATTTTGTTTTCCTATTTTCTTCCTGTACTTAACATATATTACATTACATATACCTACATCACTTCAGAAAACAGTTTCTTGTCAAAATGGCAATTAGTTGAGTAATTAGGTAGGGCCCCTAAGCAGTATTAGCCCAGGGCCCCACAAATTCAAGATCCGCCCCTGCCCATACCATCCCGTAAGTATCGTAAAAGGCGACAGAGTGAAATCAAAGAGGCGATAGGCAGCAGTATCTTCCTGATAACAACATAAAATTAAAATAAATGCGGTTGCCAACCGACTTGGAATTAGGGGAAATTTGCAATAGAGGGCAATTTATGGAAAAGACCTATGTTTAGTAGGGGCTCTTTGCCATAGACTTAGAATATACTCTAGTCTATACTAAGTCTATGCTTTATGCTAGTAAATACCATAGATATAGTATATACTCCACGAGTTTAATACTATATCTATGGTAAATACTATGAGGCTTGCTATTTGGACAAAGTACTTGCTACATATTTATTAATCTGTGCTAGAGGACACTGACAGGGGAAGTTTTAGCCAAAGAGTATAGTAATATATAAGGTTTTAGCGGGAACTTGTCTGGCGGCGGATTGCTGCTCCTGTATTATTGTTCATGATTTAACAATTTTGAAGTGGATTTTGATATGTAAAAGTGCTGCGATTTTATGTATTAAATTTCTACGCATGTGGACTATTAGCGGAAACGGTGAAACAAATGCTCAGATGGTGATGTGAATCTCAAGATAAGGTGTCTGTCTGCTTAGATAAGGTGACTATCGCCAACTGTCTGCTGGCTCATGCTGCCGGCTAAAGCTCCCAAAAACTATGCAATGTGACGCAAAGAGAATATAATCACTACGTTTAATGTGACGCATCAACATATTGTGAAGCAGTGCACTATGTACATAGTTTAAAAGATAAGCGTCCAAGCCAAGATCTTAATTAAAAAGAAGACACTGGCAGGTGACACTGATGTCACACAGTGTTGCCGTTTTATCGCATTTGGCGCTGAATCTAGTGCAATTCTAAGGTTTATAGCGCTTTTTTTTAATATCTAAGCGTTAAAAATATTTAGTGGAATCTGGCGGAAAATTTCATATTATTTGGCAGCCCAATGTGTGACAAAAAAAACTAGCTAGTTGATCGTTCGGATACTCCCCCAACAAAATGTTGCTGATCCGTTACTTGTTTTATCTCATTTTTGCATTATGGTATTATGTAGCTGTTTTGCTTTTCATTATATTAATCGTCTAAGGTTTAATACCTGAGAAGAACTGGTATTTATCACTTTGGAATTTCTTGTTAGAATTTTAGCTCAGTTTTGTTCATTTCGTGAAAATTTTAAATGGAGGTGCCACGGAGGAAGAAAACTTATAGCTAGAAATATAGATCTAAGTGGGAGCAAATAGCATGGAATTTAATTGGTCAAATAAGAAAGTGATGGTGATGTTACAGTGAAATTTTGAGCTTAAATCTCCAGATACAAAAAATACGGCTAGGATTAATGCCTTTCTATTATATATTTCTACATCCTATCTATCAGCGTGCTGTCGCTTTACATTAAAACGACGGAGTATAGCATAATTTCAGCGTTATGATCATTGTCAAAAGTAAGCTACGTTACCGTAGATCAGTTGAAACAGTGAACTGAAATTTAATTATAGGTCATAAATAAATAAAATCTTAAGCGAAGCTGCCACATTTATGACTTACCTGAAAATGTCCTCGACAAAATTACAAAACAGAACATCAGCAGGTGTAGGCAAATCATCGACATCTGGAAGTGATGATGACCATGGTGACGTAGTGGAATTGTATAATTTAGTTGATTTTAGTACCTAATATTAGTTAAATAAATGAAGATTTCTTAAATAATTGCATTTTTTCTTACTTCCTTATACATTTACTGCATACAACTTAGCAGATTTGTGGATTTTAAAAAGCGGATTTTCGTAAAATATAGCGCAATTTTGATAAGGGTGGTTTGATAATTTTGGTGCATCTTTTTTTCTTCATACGGCAACACAGATCTCTCAGACTACTTTCAGCATAAGCAAACGTAAGTAAAATTTTATTTTATCATATTAGTCTGTGACTTTCAGTATATATTCTTCTTAATAACTGGCTTTACGGCTCTGGGATCTAGCCCTTCTGAGCCTGAAGTTACAATATATTATAATAATTATCCTTCATAGTATACTGCTTCACAATATGTTGATCTGGCACATTGTGCAGCCCTTGAGAGATTTTGACGGCAACTTGAGCCAGCAGACAGCTGACGGTTGGCGATGGTATCTCAAGGCGCCTAAGCAGACAGACACCTTATTTTGAGAATCACATCACCATCAGAGCACTTGTTTCACAGTTTCCACTAATAGTTCACATGCGCAAACACTTAATACACAAAATCGCACCACTTTTACATATCAAAGTCCACTTCAAACCATTATTTAAACTTTCAGTATATAAAAAGTACTCTGTCAAAGAGTATAGGAACTGTCCTATACAGCCGTACTCTGTGCAGACTACCATAGATTACTGAAAACTACTATTATTACAGTTATTTAATTTTATTGTTTTGATTATTATTTTGTTATGTGGTATGTGCACTGATTACATTAGCTGATTAGTGTTAACTGAACAGTGAATTTAAATTGATGTTGATTCGGTTCAAAACATTTTCAGTAACAACAGAACAGTAAATGATTGTTCACCTGTGACCAGATTCTACAGGCTTTGCTTAGTTATTTTAAATATTATCTTGACTAGTAATATGAAGATATTATTATTTTTATTGTTTGCTACATATTCGCGAGCGGCAATTGTAAAAGTGCGTGCAGGACCAGGATATGACTGTGCGTATTGTCAGCCAGAACAGCTGCATATTTCTTTTGGATGTAAGTATTACGTTATTAATGTAGTCTGAGATACTTGACTTCAAGTTTTTTCGACTTTTCTATGCAAAGTGATCGTATTGTTGTAAGTGATCTTTCATTCCTTTGTTTAAGGGTCTACTTTAACGGAGACTGTTTTATACATTTATTTTCTTTGTTTCTTTGGTGTTATCTTATTTAGTCATTACTAAATATTGTTCTTAATGCCCATGTTCTTTTAACATTTGTACTCAATAATTATTATAATATAATCAGGCAAGCAGTTGAGCCGATAAGTAGCCATATCCCTCCTGTAACTAAAAACTTTTACTAGTTTTTTTTTTTTGAACTTGTTAGCACAGTGATAAAACCATTCACATGAGTTCTTTGTATTTTTTTTTTTCAGAAATATATTTTTGTCTAATAATGTGTGTACAATTTTTTGTGAATTGTTTTAATTTTAATTTTAAACAAACGTATTGTACTGCTATTTTACAAACTGTAAAATGGGAAGAGGTTGACATGGGAATTCAATTTTCTTTTCTTTTATATTTCCACTTGTCAAGAAAGACAAGAAATATAACTTTATTCTGTCCATTTGTCTTGTACAGCATTATGGTAATTTCTAGATATTTTGCTAGATAGTCATTATAGCTGCAGTGTGGCTGTATCATGTAAAACACATATTTCATACAGGGAGTGCTGTAAGAAAATCCATCGCCTATTTCATACAGTGAATGCTGTAACGGAATCGATCATTTAAGATAGTACACCTATCATAAATATTTTTTTTATAAGGGTATCAAGCAAGCACACAGCCAGGCCTCTGTTACTCTTGCTACCTGCGTAAAATAGTTACCTACAATTGCGAGGCGACCCTGGGGCAGAACACAGTCGGAAGCAATAGTGCATTCTAGGCCATTGAATGTTGAAAAGTTTTTTAACACTGTTTACATAAATATTTTTTTGTAAATACTTGTCAAAATAGTTTTTGTTTAGTGTATATTTTGTGGGATAAAATAGTTGAAAAAGTATTAATGTACGTAATTTAAGAACAATATACATATATGTATATTACCTATGTATTTCATAAATTATAATGGCAAAACGTTCTTCCTACTATAATTGTTGCGGATATGAGATTGATGCTTAATAAGCAAACAAAAGGATTCAGAAATATCATGGAAGGATAATGAAAGGTGAATTTATTTAATTTTTTTTAGATAACTTTGTTTACAAGATTTTTAACTAAGTAGAATACGATCACGTTTCTGTTAAGAATCATATTTCTGGTTTATTTGTTGTTTACACTATCTACCTATTTCTTATGAGCCAAACATTGTGATTCCCGACGAATGACCTTGCAAGTTGCATGCGTTGGGCATTACAGGACTCGCATAGTTGCAGAAATATGGTGAATCATAGTCAGAATAGGTACCTTACCTAAGTAACTTACAATTTCACAATGAGTAAAATTACGAAGAGACGGCCGTCAGTCCCCGGCGGCCCCGCTATTCCTGGATACGGTGGCGACCATGATAACGGCGGGGCAGAGGGTGCTAAGAATCTTCGGTGGAGGTTCAGTTGCCACCTACGACGACTTGACCTAGCAACTTATAACGCACGCAGCCTGAGGACTGACGAGAAGATACTGGAGCTGGAAGAAGAGATAGGCAAGCTGCACTGGAATACTATAGGATTATCCGAGGTCCGTAGAGAGGGAGAGGACACGGTAATCCTCGAATCTGGCAACTTGTTCTATTACCGGGAGGGCGACCATCAGTCCCAAGGAGGTATCGGATTTCTCGTTCACACGTCTCTTGTTAACAACGTTGTAAAGATTGGTAGTGTGTCGACGAGGGTTGCGTACCGTATACTCAGAATCACCAAACGGTATTCGCTGAAGGTCATACAGGCTTACGCACCAACCTCGGCAAACCCCGATGAGGAGGTGGAGCAAATGTATGAGGATATCTCTAGAGCCATGCATTCCTCCAACTCACTATACGGTGTTAATGGGAGACTTCAACATAAAACTAGGCACAAGAGAGAATGGTGAGCTGAAAGTAGGAAAATTCGGAAAAGGGCAACGGAACCTAAGGGGCCAGCAGCTGGTTGACTTCATGGAGAAAGAGGGGCCCTTCATGATAAACTCTTTCTTTCAGAAGCGGCCCCACAGGAAGTGGACCTGTACGAGCCCCGACGGTTCCACTAAAAATGAGATTGACTTCATTATGACGACCAGACGACAACTGTTCAGTGATGTCTCTGTGATCGCGAGGGTGAAAACTGGTAGCAATCACCGAATGGTTAGAGGCACATTGAACCTAAGCATTAAGTTGGAGAGGTCACGTCAAATGAAGTCAACGCTCCATCCCCCTAATGCTCTAATCCGTAGATGCACAGACCGCGGCCCGCCGGTCGAATACTGGTGGCCCGCCGACAGCAAAAATAATACTCTCGTACATTCGAAAAATATTGAATTATATTCCAGAATAAAACCAAAAAAAATATGTTCGAAAAGTAATTTGAATCTCGCGCGCGCGCTCTTAAGTGCGCTTATCGGTGCGCCGTGCATGCGTCGGTAACAGCGGTCGGTAATGTTCGTGCTGATCTCGGTAAAATTCGTTTTCTTGAGGAACCGCCGCGGCCGGAAGCGCGGCAACGACGGCAGCGCGGTGGCGGCTTATCCACGGGTTATATAGTTAGAGCAAGCGAGATAGCAATAGTCCCGAATTCCCGATTGCTCGCGTAGGTAGATACACGAAGCTTCCAGAGTCGGTTTCGTGATTTCTCCAGACAGTTTTCGACTCTATACGCGCGGTATAAAAGCCACGCTAATTTGGACTTGGACTTGTCAAAATTATCGGGAGTTGCGACTGACGGTGCTCCTTCGATGATTGGTGTCAATTCTGGGCTAGTTACTTTGCTGAAAAAGCATCTGCAAGAAAAAAACATAAACGCTGAAGATCTCATGCAGTTTCACTGCATTATACACCAAGAAGCCCTCTGTTCTAAAAAAATTGAATTTCAAAATGTCATGAAAGTGGTAGTTTCGACTGTAAATTTCATAAAATCACGAGGACTCAATCACAGGCAATTCAAACAATTCCTTGATGACATCGAAACCGAATATGGAGATTTACTGTATTATACAGAAGTAAGGTGGCTAAGTCGTGGATGTGTCAATCCAAGGAACGATTTCTAAATTTAATAGAAGAAATTGGAATATTTCTGGCGGAAAAGCAAAGGGATGTCCCGGAACTTAAAAATCCTGATTGGTTGTGTGATTTGGCTTTTTTAGTTGATATTACAAATCATTTGAATGTCTTGAGCACACGGCTTCAAGGCAAAAATCAACTGATATCCCAGCTCTACGCTCATGTATCATCCTTTCAATGCAAGCTGACACTTTTCAGATCGCAATTGAATTCTCGAAATTACAATCATTTTCCGAATTATAAGAAAATGGCTGAAAAATTCAACAAAACTGCGATTAATTTCAGTTATGTAGAAAAGCTAGATATTTTGATTCTTTGAAACCTCTGTTGGACATATTCAGCAATCCTTTCACGATTTCAGTTGAAAATGCGCCAGAGTCAATGCAGTTAGAAATTATCGACATTCAAAACGACCAAGATTTACGCAACAAATTCAACGAAGGAGACTTGCTGAACTTTTACCGCTGCATTGATAAAAATACGTACAAAGAGTTGCGCATAAACGCTCTGAAATGTGCCAGCTTATTTGGTTTTACCTATATATGTGAACAAACCTTTTCAATACTAAATAATAATAAAACAAAAAATCGAAACCGCCTTGCAAATGAAAGTTTGAAAGCAGTTTTACGTGTTGCTACAAGCAAATTTGAGCCAAATATAAAAAAGATTGTAAGCACTATGCAGTGCCACGCTTCAAATTAATAAATTCTTTTTCAATTTTAATACATTATTATCAATTCTTTATTGTCTTTAATTACCTATACTTCTAGCGGCCCGCCATCAGTTCATAATTTGCCCGAGTGGCCCCTAGTCTTAATAAGTCTGTGCATCACTGCTCTAATCCAAAGCCCCGAAACCTTTCAGCTCGAGTTACAAAACTGTTATCAGTGCCAAGAAGATTGCAATGAAGAGAACAATATGAAGGATAAGCTCGTGGAAACTGTCCATGCGGTCGGAGCTAAGCTCTGCAAGACCCGCCGCAGCAGAACACAAAAACTCTCCAAGTTGCCAAGTTGACTGTCGGTATATCGAAGTGCTGAAGTATTTTTACAGTAGGGCTACGATGGCTATCCGAGTACAGAATCAGAGTGCGAAACCTATCCAACTGCAGAGAGGTGTAAGACAGGGTGATGTTATACCCCCAAAACTCTTCACCGCTGCATCGGAAGACGTTTTCAAGCTACTGGACTGGAAAGGATACGGTAATAACAACAACGGCGAGTACATCACTCACCTTCGATTTGCCGACGATATAGTCCTTATGGCAGAATCGCTGGAGGACCTAAGCACTGGCAAAATGTTATTGCTTGAAATTACGGCATATCTTCTCGTCAGGTATACCTCAAAACTTGAAAACGAGACTGTACAACCAGTGCGTGTTGCCAGTGATGACCAATGGAACTGAGACGTGGTCCTTCACTTCTGGCCGGATGAGGAAGCTCAAGGTCGCTCAGCGAGCTATGGAGAGGGCTATGCTCGGAGTTTCTCTGCGTGATAAACTTAGAAATGAGGATATCCGCAGTAGAATCAGAGTGACCGACATAGCCCAACGAATTAGTAAGCTGAGCGGCCATATAGCTCGAAGAATTGACAACCGATGGGGAAGAAAGATTCTCGAGTGGCAGCCTCGTACCGGCAGGCGAAGTATAGGGCGTCCCCCCACTATATGGAGTGACGACCTGATAAGACATGGAGAAAGTCGATGGATGCAGGTGGCTCAGGAGCGTGCTTTGTGGGATTCCTTGGGGGGCCTATGTTCAGCAGTGGACTTGTGACGGGCTGTAATGATGATGATGATAAATT